AGGACATTCATTTCCTGTCTTGAGCTCCTTTTCCTCGTCTATAAAATGGGTTGAACTTACTCTTCAGGTCTTTTCCAGTCACAGTGGCCTATAGATACCATTTGTTATTTTCTTTTTGGTCCCTACTCATTTTCTTTTCTTTCTTTCTTTTTTTTTTTTTTTTGTTTTTTTTTTTTTTTGGAGATGGAGTCTCGCGCGATCTTGGCTCACTGCAACCTCCACTTTCTGGGTTCAAGCGATTTTCCTACCTCAGCCTCCCGTGTAGCTGGGACTATAGGTGCCCACCACCACGCGCAGCTAATTTTTTTGTATTTTTAGTAGAGATGGGATTTCACCGTGTTAGCCAGGATGGTTTCAATCTCTTGACTTCGTGATCTGATCACCTCGGCCTCCCAAAGTGCTGGGATTACAGGTGTCAGCCACCTCGCCCGGCCACCTGATTTTATCTATTAAAAAGAATACTGGCATTGTTTTAATTTGAAGCAATCTCACTGTATTTGATAAAGTGACAGTCAAGTACCAGTGTAACTGAATGTCCCAGATAGACAGAAAGACATAAGTGCCTACTAATATGTTTCTGTTTTTATTTCCTTTGCTGGTTATTTCCATATCTCTGAATAATATATTTATGTGACTACTTCTCAATTTTACACATTTTCCTTTGGTTTTCTTCCACAACAGATAAAGATATAGGTTGTGTACATCATTCTCTCTTATTCTCTCTTTCAAATTGGGTCCTATATTTGGTTTTTAATATATTTGCCAATTACCTTTGTAACATTAAATATTATATTTGTAGCCTTTTTCCTACTCTTTTTCCTTACTTTTCTCTTCAGTTCTTCATTTCTGTACCTTTTCTTTAGTTCTTTTTTAAAAAGTGCTCTTTTAATAGTTCCCTGCAATGACCTCTCACTGAATATTACAGTCTTGTCTGTACCTACATTAACTTGTGATCTCTTGCCTTTGTAAAATCTATGTCCCTTCCCTTAACTTCCCTGAGTTTCTACTATTGTGGTTTTCTTTCTTGCTCCTACTTTTCTTTTTCCTCTCCTACTACTGTTTCTTTATGTTCAATTCTTGAACTTCTTCCTCTTCCTACATCCAACTCCAAGTTGTTTTCTATGACTCAATTATTAGACCTCGACTCTTCTCTATATACTCTGGAAGCATTAATCTATTACTATGGCTTAAATTTTCACTTCTTTGTAGACATTTCAAACTGTATATCCCCAGACTATTTTCTCATCCTAACTCTTGTCTATTATCTCCTATATTCAAATAATTTCTAAGCTCCATGAGATCAGAAAAAATGAAAATTTTTAAATTCATTATTAATTTAAATTTAATCCACCATTGGAGCCTTTTCTGTTATTCTGGTAGAGTCATCTGCAAATGAGAAATATAGTACCTAACCTACCCAGTATAACAAATTTTTCTTAGATTCAAATACTAAAAAACGGTGTGAAAGGGTTTTATAAATGGCAAATCATTATACAAATGTAAGACTTTATTACTACTATTACTGCCTTATGCCTTCGTTTATATTACTCCTCTTTTTTCTTGCAGTGGGTTTCTCCTTCTTCTCCAGTTGTCTTCTTCAAAGCTCAGTTTTCCCTCAAAACGCTGTAACACTTACTTTGCTCTCTATTTGTTGGGTTGATATTAATACTGTGTTCTAATTCTTTCTAACCACTGTAACACTTAGAATATTGTTATGCATGTAGAAGATGATTAACAGCTAATTTGTTGACTGATTAACTTAAAAGTTTGGTAATAAGTTGAGAGTTTATGTTTGGAATTTTATCATATTTAGGAGAATTATCAATCTTTATTTCTATGTTTCATGTATCAATAAATATTCCTTGAGCAAATATTCTGTGTCAGGCACTGTTAAAATCAATGAAGATATAAAAAGCTTGCCTGTTACTTTCAAAGAAGTTAAAATTTTCACCTAGGGAATAAAAATTCTAGCAGCTTTTGTTTTAGTTGTCCTCTCTAAAGAAAGTAGCCTTCTCTGAAAGTAGGAACACTCAAAATATTATACAAAACCAAGAAGATTTACATTCTTTTCTCATCTATGTAATTTGCTCAGTTATTATTATGATTGTACATTGTATCTATCTTCTGCTAAAAAGTAAACTGCATGATGATAAAACTCTTTAATTTGTTTACTAATGTATTTGAAATTCCCAAGAAAGTGGGCATTCAATATTTGTTGAAAAAGTGAATGTGGCATTTGTTAGAGGACTACCAAAAAATGAATGAAAGAATTTCTCGGCAGTTGTATGAACACAGTTGGAGCTAGATAATATCAAATTTAAGTATGTTCGGTTCATAAATTTTTCATACCACAAAGGTGAAGTAATATTTCAGCTTGGTTATAAAAGATAAGCAAGATTTTGACAGAGACAATGGAGAAGTTTATATTCAAAAATTAGCAACTAGTTAAAAGCAGAACCAGGCTGTGAAATTATATTATGAGATGCAATATTACAGCATGATGCCTAAGGATGAAACTAACTGAAGGAGAAAAGAGTTTACAGCCAAGAAGCCAGTCAAAGTGGATGGTGGGAGAAAGAGTTGGCAAGTGTCATGATAAGCATGATGACAGGCTAAGGGAAATAAAAGCAACAGAAAATATTGTGATGCCTCTTCACAACAAGTTTTTTTTTAGAGAAATATTATTCATGTTCTTAGCCCACTTTTTAATGAGATTGTTTGTTTTTTTCCTTGTTGATTTGTTTGAATTTGTTGTAGATTCTGGATATTGTTCCTTTGTCAGATATATAGATTATCAAGAATCTTTCCCACTCTGTGGATCATTTGTTTACTCTGCTAACTGTTCCTTTTGTCATGCAAAAGCTCTGTAGTTTAATTAAGTCCCAGCTATTTGTCTTTGTTTTTATTTCATTTGCTTTTGGGATCTTGTTCATGAAATCCTTGCCTAAGCCCAATGTCTAGAAGGGTATTTCCAATGTTGTCTTCTGGAATGTTTATAGTCTCACAAATAACCACTAAAAAACTTAAGCATGTAACCAAACATCACCTGCTCCCCAATAACAGACAGAAATAAAAAATAAAATAAAATAAAATAAAAAACAAACACTAAATTATAAAATAGGTGGGAGGAAGTTCTGGTTTGTCCTATGATATGATAACTTTTTGATGCGTTTTTAAATTGTATGCACTTTGCAAATAATTTTTTTCCTATTTTTTGACTGTGTTACTGTGTTGCTACTTTGCTGTGGCCAAGCATAGAAACTCTTTCATCACCAACTGTGAGATTTGGTGTTTTCTGTTGACCTCAAACTGTCAATAATAAATTCTAATTCCAAACTCTGTCTTTCATAGAAAACGTCTTATTTTCTAGACGTTACTCAAACTCTTTCCTATATGGAAAAAAATTCTACCACCCACGACCATTCTCTGAGCTATCAATCTGATTCCTCACTAAGGCGTTAAGTTTAATTTTGGTTACTCTTTCCATAACAACTATGGTTTAATCAAGGCTTCTAAAGATCTTGAACTCAAAATCTAAATGAATGAATTTTTAATGTTTGAATTTGGGGTAATGTGAAATGCTCTAGAATGTGACATTTCTAGTGCCTTTCCGAAATCGTAATATACAGTTAGAAGTTATTCCACATATATTTAAGGATAAAACAAGCCAACATTTTCTTTCAATTGTTTGGGATTCATAATGGTACAGAAAAAATGACTGAACTGTGAATCAAGAGTGCTTTGAAAAGACATATTTCTGAGAGTGAAAACAAGATCTGTCTAATAAAAAAATCAAGAAATAGAAATAGATAATTTATACAGGAGTAAATAAATATGAGAGGCAAAATCATGAAAAAATATTGACCATGGTTAGTAATCAGAGCAACCGCAAGATATCATTTTGCACCTAGTAATGTGACTATATATATATATATAAATCTTATGTATATTAACTATATCAATACATAAAATACAATTTTTATATGTATTGTATATGTAAGATATATCTTACAACTGTTGAAGCTTCAGTGACAGCAGTACATTTATTCACTGCTGACTTCAGAAGGGGACCAATATAAACCAGCTTGACATTCCCCTGGGCCTATATGGGAATATGTAGGAAGAGTCATAAATGGTAAAATAACATTTGACTCAACAATCCCACCCCTATAAATATAATAAAAAATTTTCAGAAGAAAATAAAAAGAAAAAACAAACTCTATGCATAAAGAACATGATTGCAATACTGTCTATAAGAGAAAATCTTTGGTATAAATGTATAATGTATAAAATTATGTATACTTATAAATTAATGTATATATTTGTATAATGTATAAAACTAGAGGGGGGTTAGTAAGATCTGAAACAGATTAGTATGCATTCATTGAAATAATAATGATGGAGCCTAGGAAACTAGAGGGAAAGGTTTATACTATAAGGCTAAGAGAAATAACAAGAAAAAATACTACAAGATTGCAACTAAACAGAAATCTTCATGTTTGTGGATAAAGAGTATGCGTTAAAATGCAAATTCAAAAATAATTGTGTTAGTGGGTGGAATTTGGGGTGACTACAAGATATTTTAAATGTATTTTCATTTTGTACATTGTATTTTTATTTTTAAAAGTTCTAATCCATTAATGTAGTTGTGAAAGTTTAGACTAATGGTGTAACATTGAGGGGCCTTGGCTCTTGTACAAACATTGATGATTGGACTACCATTCGGTACTTCTCACCCTTCAATGTCCATTAAGATTATTCAGGGAGCTCGTTGAATGTGCATATGGCTAGATTATATCTTCAGAGATTTTGATTTGGTAGGTCTGGGGTGGAGACCAGGGATCTGCATTTTTAATAAGAAATAATAAAATTATATCCAAGTTCCCTTTCAACTATGACATTCTGTGCTTTCATGTGATTCTTAACACACCATAGATGTCTTGATTAATAGACAAATAAAGCCTTCCTTTTAATTTGCATTTTTCTACTTTGTTCCTCAGCCTGAAGCACCGTGGATTCATAAGCTGCTTTAAAGAACAACTGAGCACTTGGTTTCACAGAATGGCCTTACCACAGTAAGCACCAGCTACTCTCAAATGAGCATTTCTACCTCTGTGGAATTGAAATAAAAACAAGTCTTCCATGAGTATCAAGAGCTGCTTTTTTTGCATATAATTTACAGAAGTGATTTATAGACATGTTTTTTTATTATTTATCAAATGTCTCAATTATTCAGACCAAAATAATTTAGTGTTTTCCCCCATGTTCTGAAGCTTCAGTCTGGACACTATTTCTGAGTCTGAGTTCAAATGTACTCCCCTTCAAAACTCTTACCATATTTCATTAAATTTCTCCTTTACTTAGCATTCAAAATAAAAGTAAATAAAGAATGAAAGGGAGGAAGTACATCTTCCACACCCTTAAGAGAAACAGAGAACTATACGTAGATATTAACCCCTGACAAAAAATTTTTGTTTGGCCAAACTTTCATCATACTCCTGAACCATCTCCTAGGCTTATCTAGGCATTCCCTCTTGTAAAATCAGTTTTAGCAAAAAAGGTGCTAAATCAGTTTAGCAAGAGTCTTACACCCTTAATAACTGATCCTTCAATATATGATCAGGTTTCTTATCCTCCACCATCTTCCAGGTGATTTCTCATCACCCTGGAATCCTGTTAAGTCAGTATAGCCAGAATCCCCCTTTATCCCCGATGTCACTTCTCAGTAATTTTCCATCCACTGATTGGCACCCTCCTCTTTGGCTATAAATTACTATTTGCTCATGCTATATTCAGAGTTGAGCCCAATCTCTCTCCTCCAGTGAAATACCCCATTCCCATGGCCCCTATACCTATCATGATAGCTCCCCTTTGAAGAAAGTCTGCTTACCATCTTCAATGAGTGTCAGTGAATATTTTTTCTTTAATACCTTACCTCCTCTACACACATACACATATAGAATTCTAATCTTAATTATTTACTTTTATTTCTTTTCTCCTTATTTTATTTACTTATTTACTGATAAACTGAAAATGTTCATGAGATAATAACACACATATCTCAATCATTTTACATATTTCTGTGAATATACTTGTCATATTATTTCCTGAGAGCAGGATACCGGTATGGAAGGAAAGAGAGAGAGAAATAGACAGAGAAAAGTATGGAGGTCTCCTTCACTTCACCCAGTCTGCTTTCTGCCTTTTGGTTATAATCTTGACTTCAGTTTTCTCTCAGAAATGACAGCATTTCAGATCCAGTTCTCAAAGAGGTGTTATTTTTCTAAGCCATTTAATAACTTTACATATGTCTATATGACATATACTTTAAAAAGTTATAAGAAAAGTTTAGAAACCATCTAATTAGCACTCAATACATGATTAAATGATTTGCTGAATATATGACAGTTCTTCAACACAATGGAATGCCTTGTGAATGTGAAAAAGAATAAGAAATCTATGTAGTGACCTGGAAAGTGCTTCAATATAAATTTAAGAGAAAAAAAAATCAATGTGCAAAAGAGAGGATATCCTATGTTATTTATAGTGTTTTTAAAAGAAGGGAAGAGATGACATATAATTGCATTTGCCTATATTTGCATAAAGAGACTCTGGTAGGATAAAAAATAAAAAATTAAAAGTGGTTACCCATAACGAAGGAGTGGTATTTGGAGCAATGACAGGTTAGAGAAACAGATGACGTTTAGGACTAATACTAATATTCAGCCAGTACACATTAAATGAGCCATAATGGTTGATAAAATACTACAATATTTCTTAATCAGTTGGTAAACGGCAGCTACACTGTTCACCACCCCTTCCCCTTGACACCTTGAATGCTGCCCAGTCTTCTCTCTTGGAACATCAGGAATCCTCCAGGAATCAAAAGCAAGGGCATAATTACAAGTATAAAAGACTTATTCAGTGAAGCACTTGTGAAAGGTAAAAGGAGAGGGAGCCGAAGTAGGTAAGAAGAGACTGTAGACTGCCATGCAAGCTGGCATCCATGAAAGGAGAAAGGAAACAAAAGAGCCTCAGCTGTATTGCAGCTTGGGGAAAATCTCAGCCAGGCCAATGGGGAGCCCAGAGCAAAGACTGCTCTTTAGAGGAATCTGTGTTGGGCAGAAATACCCAGACCTTAGTACTCTCACAGTGTTTATCATTGTCTGGGAGAAGTCCAGTGGGAGTGTAGCTGCAGCTTGAATATTGGTGAATCTCAAATGAGCAGAGGTTGTCAGCTGACGCTACTCCTCAGAAAAAATCTCCCCTGAAGTGAGATGTGAGCAGCAATTTCCCTTGACCATCACAGCACAAATCTGTTTCCTTATCCATATTCACTCCTCAAAAGTTCTATGGGCTTCTCCTTATTAGGGAAAATTTAAAAGAGGAAGGGAAGAGGAAAAACTACAGTCCTTATCCTTCCAGTTGATGTTAGGGCCACAGCTGGTCCCGTCTGGTCTCCTACATTGTTCATCTTAAGTTCCTCTCATTCTCCTATGTGTCTTATCTGGTGTTATAATCTGAAACTTCATTTCTGAAGGGTCTGAACCCTTAGTAATTGTAATCTTCTCAGGCTCCATTCACAGTTAAAATTGGGCAAGGGATTCAAAGAGAAGCCCAAATGGATCATGCAGCTTCCACCAATATCTTTTCCTTTCCACATTGCAAAAAGCAACTCTACCTCCCCTCTGCTTATCAGATTGAATTACCCTTCTCAAAATGGTGATTCTTTTCAACATCTGATTTCTAGGTATAAGGAGTCCAAAGGTCCCTAGCAACAGCTGTAACTTGTCCTTCAATGGGACGCTTGTATGTCCCTTGGCAAGCTTTATGTCCCCCTTTTGGGATAAGGACTTATAACTCTGTGGAGCCCAGAGCTGCTGTGACAAGAAGCACATGGGCTCCCAGTGAGTCATTTTGAGAGTCGTGGCAAGTGGAGCCACTCTTGATTCTATCCCTGTTGGCATATGTGTTTTTCCTATTGAGGATAAAACACCATATGGAAATATCTGTTTTTAATTCTTATACTGCATCTTACGAACAGCACTCCATCTTGCAGAGCATTGCATCTGACCTAATACTTCACCACTGTGACTTCAGTAGGCCATTCAAGCTCTCGGTGAAGTCAGCTGCTTCTGAATGGTGTAGTATGTAGTATGACCATGTACTTCATGGTCATGGGCCCACTGCCATACCTCCTTTACAGTTTAATACCCTGGTCAGATGCTATGCTTCCTCAAGGCTACCCCTGAGTTTGGCTGTAATGCAAGTGCTGTTCATTTTCAGCTAGAACCCACATACTCAGCTGAAATATTTATAAACCAAGCTCAGGCATTTTTTCCTCCTTCAGATGGCCGTAGGTGCAAGCTGAAGAAAGATGCTGGAGCCAGCACAGTAGATGATATGGAGGTCTGTGGTACCTTCTCATGAAGCTTACTTGTACCCTCTGGTCCTACTCAGACATGATCCCAGAGTGACCGTATTCCACTTTTGGGTATTTTTACAGCAGCACTGCACTCCTGGTACCAATTTACTGTATTAGTCTGTTCTCACATTGCTAATAAAGACATATCTGAGACTGGGTAATTTATATTAAGGAAAGAGGTTTAATGGACTCACAGTTTCACATGTTCAGGGAAACCTCACAATCATGGGCAAAGACTAAGGAAGGACAAATACAGGTCTTACATGGTGACAAGCAAGAGAGCTTGTGCAGGGGAACTCCCATTTATAAAACCAGCAGATCTCATGAGACTTATTCACTATCACAAGAACAGCATGAGAAGGACCTGCCCCATAATTCAATCACCTTCCACCGGGTCCTTCCCATGACATGTGGGAATTATGGGAGCTACAATTCAAGATGAGATTTGGGTGGGGACACAATCAAACCATATCAACAAATAATGAGCACAGTGTCTGATAGGTAGTTTTTCAATCCTCATTCTCCCCCCACCCTCCACTCTCAAGTAGTCCCCAATGTCTGTTGTTGCCTTCTTTGGGTCCAAATATACTTGATGTTTATCTCCCACTCATAAGTGAGAACATGCAGGATTTAGTTTTCCATTTTCGTTTAACTCACTTATAATAATGGCCTCCAGCACCACCATCTTGCTGCAAAGAACATGATCTCTTTCTTTTGTATGGCTGTGTAGTGTTCCATGGTGTATATTACCACATATTTTATATCCAACCTACAGCTGATGGACATTTAGTTGATTTCATATCTTTGCTAGTGTGAATAGTGCTGTGATTAATATAGGCATGCATGTGTATTTATGGTAGAATGTTTTATATTCCTATGAGTATATACCCAATAATTGGAATGCTGATTTGAAAGGTAGTTCTGTTTTGAGTTCTTTGAGAAATCACAATACTTTCCACAAAGGCTGAACAAATTTACACTCCCACAAGTAGTATAAAATCATTCCTTTTCTCTGCAACCTCGCCAGCATCTGTTATTTATTGACTTTTTAATGATGGCTATTCTGGCTGGTTTGAGATGTTATCTCTTTGTGGTTGTAATTTGCATTACTCTAATGATTAGTGCTATCGATCATTTATTCATATTTTTGTCAGCTGCATGTATGTCTTCTTTAAAGAAACGTCTGCTCAAGTCTTTTGCCCACTTTTTAATGGGGCTGTTTGTTTCTGCTTGTAAATTTAAGTTCCTTATAGATTCTGGATGTTAGACTTTTGTTGGATGCATAGTTTGCAAATATTTTTTCCGGTTCTGCAGGTTGTCTGTTTACTCTGTTGACAGTGTCTTTTGCTGTGCAAAAGCTCCTTAATTAGTTACATCTGTCAATTTCTGTTTTGGTTGCAATTGCTCTGATATCTTCATTGGTGAAATCTTTGACCGTTCCTATATTCAAAATTGCATTTACTAGGTTTTCTTTCAGAATTTTTGTACTTTTACATTTTACATGTAAATCTTTAATACATCTTGACTTGATTTTTGTATATGGTGTAGGAAGGAGTTCAGTTTCAATCTTCTACTTGTGGCTAGCCAGTTATCTGAGAACAATTTATTGAATAGGGAGTCCTTTTCCCACTGCTTGTTCTTGTCAACTTTGACAAAGATCAAATGATTGTGGGTGTGTAGGATTATTTCTGGACTCTCAGTTCTGTTCATTGGTCTATTCTTCT